GTATACTGTATTATCTGATTAACATTTACTGGTGTTGATTGATTGATAGGTATTTGTTTATTGAGCGTGGCTAGCTCCGCTAGCTTCTCTGCACAGACAACACAGTGTAGTGACAGGCGCTAAATTGTTGTAATTGCGGAGTAATGTTAGTATTTTACACACCTGAATTACAAACAGAGATTGCGTTGCCAAACGGCCGTGGTCATTATTGGTTTGAGAGTTCTGTTATCAAGAAAAATGATCGGTAGAATTACATTCAAGTCAATGGAGTGTTCTACTGCTGCTGTGAGGAGCTGTATAATAAATTATAATTAAATATTCAAATACTGTATATTCCAATGTTTAAATGAATACATTCGGATGCGAAACTAGCAATATTCTTTTACCTATATATTGTGTTAGCAGTGCGTTGCTTTTGTACCATTTCATCAGTGATTGTTGTACAGCTTACAAGAAGTTGCACTAATGCTAATGATAGCATACATGTGAGATCGCAAATTGAACTAGATGGCTCTGTGTTATGAGAGCGTAGGGGAAATGAGAAGCCATTGAGCGAGTTGGAGGGCGGTGCTAAACATTCATTTAACATACAGAAACAGGTATAGCGCCTTTAAAGCAATACCTCTCTGTGTATGAATGGGTAATGTGCAAAAATATATATGTGCTTTTGGAAACATCTGTGACGGATACAGTTTTGCCGTTTATAAAGACGTTTTCGAAAAGCCAGATCTATTCTAGTTCCATTTGTAAAAAATGGTTTTACTACTGTTATCTGGACAAACGCACACAACAGAGAAGGGATTAGTTTTTTACTTGCATGTAACAAGGAGATGTCTTTACGGCTTGCAAGGAGGCCTGTGCGTCCTATGCAGCCAAAAGCCAAGTTCTGCTTGATGCTCTGCAGGCGGCTTATTTATTTCAGAACAGATAACCCACACCCTCACAACGGAATGGCCCCACAAGATAAAAACATCCACACCCCACAGAATGGCCCCACAAGATAAAAACATCCACACCCCACAGAATGGCCCCACAAGATAAAAACATCCACACCCCACAGAATGGCCCCACAAGATAAAAACATCCACACCCCACAGAATGGCCCCACAAGATAAAAACATCCACACTCCACAGAATGGCCCCACAAGATAAAAACATCCACACCCCACAGAATGGCCCCACAAGATAAAAACATCCACACCCCACAGAATGGCCCCACAAGATAAAAACATTACCCACTTGTTGGACATCGTCTTGCAATACAGATTTCACAAAACGCCCCAATTGTGGACACTGTGGATAATTATTACCGTGGTTTCAACACTTCAGTTGTAGATTTCCACACTCCAATTATAGGTCAACCCAAAAAACTGAATATATTCACATTCATTTAGATGATAACCAAACAACAATTCCACAATCACATATAAATAAAGTTGAACTCGGGCCAATCCATAACAAACTTACTGCCAATAAAGAAGATTGTAGCCAGAGGAAACACCTTCTGAAGCAAAATGTAAAACAAAAGCTTCATATGGACAGAACAAAAACAGAAGAATGAAGTCATATTAAAGGTATGTGGGAGGATTTTGTTCTTCTGGGTGGATCACCAAGACTATTGGTCCTCCTAATTGTCAATCATTCTGGTGATATGCGATATACCTTCAAATTTCAACCCTCTATAGCCAACACTCGATCAAGAACGGTAACAATTCTATGTTTATTTATATAGCACATTTTACAGACCAAGGCGACTCAAAGGGCTTAAAATGTTCAGAGTTCAGAGATTTTTCCATTCTCTCCACACGGTGATGACAGAAGTGAGACCATATCACACCGGTCCATCAAAGCCTCCGACCAAACACCATCAACTCACTACATTCAGACTACTGTACATGTTTTTAGTTACTTTTATCAACATTTGACATTGATCATCTACTTTCCCCCTTAAAGACCAATTGTTATTGATCTTTGCAGTTCTTGGGTTTAAACGGTTTGATTCTCTGATTTGTGTTTACCGATTAACAGTTTTGTAAAGTTCTCGTAGATAACATCTGTTGTGATTTAGGGCTATACGTGCATACCAAGCCCCGGTGATCCAAGATGGCGCCCTGTTCAAATGAATGGCTTGTGCTCAGTAGCGCATGGGACTTCACGGGGACCGGGAGATTAGTAGAACTCGCCTATATTTGGGCATCGTCTGGTCCTCCCGGTTCTGCGCAGTAGACGAGCTCCCATGATGCATTGCGCCACAAACGTGTGTGGTTCTCATGCACAGGCACAGAGGGGCTCAGCCGCGCTCTGACCAATCAGAGCTGCTAATCAGAGCAGCAGAAGAGTGGAGTCAGAGCGGGAAGGAAAGGAGCAGAGTTTGTGGCAGTAAAGTGTGGATTTAAAGAAAACCGAAGAATTTAAAAAAAAAAAGTTCAGGATGACAAGGGACATTAAAATCACCACAAAATCCGATCTTTATGAAAGCTGTAGGTTCTCTGTCAGGTTCTCTGTCAGGTTCTCTGTCAGGTTCTCTGTGAGCTGAGGTCGAGCTGTTTTAATTTACATTGAGATCTGTGGGACTTTTTTTCTGGGTAGTCCGCATGAATTTAGTTTGCAGTACCACAGCGCCCCCTGTGCCCATGGGTGGGACAGCTATAAGCTAGTAATACCCTATCCAATTACTATTTTAGATCCGTGGTGCATACATTGAATTGAATTGATTAAGCTAGCTGGTTAGCTCTCTCGACTGAAAGAAAAGACATGATTTTCCATGTTCCTCAGTCCCTCTCAGTGGGAGAGGCCAAGTATAAGACTGTAAAATCCAGCATAATGGTCTTCAAGTGAGACCAATCTCTTTTCTTCTGACATTACAAAGCACAGAGCTGCTCCATTTTTCTCTTTTCCACATGTTATGAATTCATCAAAAGAGGAACTAAGAGAAATGACGAACACGGGTGAAAAAAATCTCATTACAAAGACGATTTCCTTCTGTGCCGCGGTCGGATTGCATTTCAGTAGTTCATTAATAAATGAGCAGCCAGAACAATGCGCCGGTGATGGCCCCATTGTCTCCGAGCAAAAGTTTGAGGCACTTTTCAAACCGGCGCCGAGATAATCGTTATAAAACATCTCCTTTCAGCTCTAACCGCGCGGAAGGACGAGCGCAGTGAAGTTACATAAGCCCTGACTCCGGTTCATTACGGAGTTAAATTGAAAAAGGGGAAAAAAGTTGCGTCTGTGTCTAATGCAGCGTATACGGTTACATACAGCTACATATGGTTACATACGGCTACATACGGTTACATACGGCTACATACGGTTACATACGGTTACATGTGGTTACATACGGCTACATACGGTTACATGCGGTTACATACGGTTACATATGGTTACATACAGTTACATACGGCTACATACGGCTACATACGGTTACATACGGCTACATACGGTTACATACGGCTACATACGGCTACATACGGTTACATACGGCTACATACGGTTACATACGGCTACATACGGTTACATACGGTTACATATGGTTACATACGGCTACATGCAGTTACATACGGTTACATATGGTTACATATGGTTACATACGGTTACATATGGTTACATACGGCTACATACGGTTACAAATGATTACATACGGTTACATACGGTTACAAATGATTACATACGGTTACATACGGTTTTGTATTGTTACATATTTGTAACATATGGTTACATTTGGTGGCAAACTGTTACATATGGTTACATACGGTTACATACGGTTACACATACGGTTACATACGGGGATGGGAGCAAGGTTCCCGTACAGAAAGCGCATGCCAGACCTCTTGTACATGCTTTTAGTGGCAAGGGAAACCAGATCGCCTGGAGAAAACCTACGCAGACGCTGGGAGAACATGCAAACTCCACTTAGAAAGACCCTGCTCCAACCAGAATTCAAACCCACGACCTTCTTGCTGAGAAGCGAGAGATCTATCTCCTCAGATTTCCTCAGACCTCTGAAGCTAAGCAGGGCAGGGCCTGGTTAGTGCTGTGATGGGAGACCTCTGGGAACAGCAGTTGCCACAGTGGGGCGGCTGTGGCTGTAAAGTGACAAACTTTTCACCCACATTACCACTGTTTGACTGGGATCTACTTTGCCCTAACACCTTAAAACCACTAAATATGGTCATAGAAATTATTTAACACATTGAAAATACAGTAAAGTGGATATAAAAAAGTAAAATTAGATGATTTCTGTTGCTCCGTCTGTCCACAAATCTTTTTTCCAGAAAGATAAAGAAGCTAATTTAAACACATTTCTAACAGGAGCAAGTGCATAGTCTGTCTGACTTCACGGCACCAGCAGACACTAAAACAATTGACAAGAAAACGTTGTAATAATTTATCTCTGAAAGTGGATCTAAAAACGTTCCTCCCACAAAGAGACATAACCCTTAACACAAACTCTTTTGTTTCATTCGGATCAGATTTGTTTTGCATCTGTGCTTCTTCTTTTCATAATAGATTCACAGGACACGGGACTGAACATGGCTCTACATTGGACAAAAACTAAAACAAATTTTGCATAAGATTTGGTGGTTTTACTGAAATAATATTTTAATTACTCAATTAACTGGTTTATTTGCCGCAAAAGAATGTATAAGTCAAAAGAAAATAAACTTAACACGTATAGAACACAGTTGAATCAAGCCGTAGCCGTTGAATCACATGTAGCTAAATGGCACATGAAGCTAACATCACATTTGATTGTTTGAGCTAGTCCAGCCCTTAACTCTGAACCCAAACTTGTCTTTTTTACTTTTGTGAGTATTTCTTTCTGCCAGAGACAAAAGATTCTAGACCTGGAACAAGCTTCTAACTTCAGCTGTTGGCTTCCACGTTGGCAAAGAAGGGAGTTCCAGCATCTAACCAATCTGTGCTAATTCTAACTCCCTCCATCATCCCTTCTTCCCCTCTCTCCCTCCATCTCTCCCTCCCTCATCCCTCTCTCCCTCATGGCCGCCCTCAGCTTTCCCTCCCTCCGCTCACCGTTCTCTCCCTCCCTCCCCTCCACCAACCACTCCCTCCTCCCTCCCTCATCCCTCCCCACCCCCTCCTCTGATAATTGCTGTCTTACCTGTGTCAGTCCACCTCCCCCTCAGCCCCTCCCTCCCTCACCTCTCTCTCACTCCCCCCTCCCTCACCTGACCCCCTCCTCTGATATTCGCTGTCTTACCCGTGTCAGCGCACCTCCCCCTCTGCCCCTCCCTCTCTCCCTCTCCTCCCCCTCCCTCACCTCACCCCCTCCTCTGATATTCGCTGTCTCACCCGTGTCACTGCACCTCCCCCTCACCCCACTCACCCCTCTCCCCCCTCCCTCCTCTGATATTCCCTGTCTTACCCGTGTCAGCTCACCTCCCCCTCTCCTCCCCCTCCCTCTCCCCCCCTCCCTCCTCTGATATTCCCTGTCTTACCCGTGTCAGCGCACCTCCCCCTCTGCCCCTCCCTCCCTCACCCCCCTCTCTCTCTCCCTCTCCTCCCCACTCCCTCACCTCACCCTCACCTCACCCCCTCCTCTGATATTCGCTGTCTCACCCGTGTCACTGCACCTCCCCCTCAGCCCCTCCCTCACCCCTCTCTCCCGCCTCCCTCACTGCACCTCCCCCTCAGCTCCTCTCGCTCTAATTACACACTTTTCATAATTAGCCAGGATCTGTTTTCCAATCAGAGCGACTGAGAGGAGCTAATTAAGCACGCTACATTAGCCTTGCCGCTTCTATATGTTTACATGTCTGTTTACGGCGCTTTGTAGACGATCCCCGCTGCTGAAGAAAACGGCACGACGGGAATGGAATACTGTCCTCAGGTCAAAGATTATTGATTTGTTTTAATGTTCTCAGGCGTCAAATGGAAAAAGAATGAACTGTTAGCGTGTTTGTGCATTGAGGGTAATGACTAGAAATGGTAATAAGACACAGCTGTAATTAAAGTAATTCATAATTTATGATTTAGTTGTTTACGATACAAGCTAATTATAGACATGTCTGAATTTTGTATTTGTTTTTGTTTAGGGACAGACAAAATGGTGCTTATAGCCTCACCTAATTTTCCCTAGATGTAAACATACAGTAGGTCCCATTTCGTTTTGTCGCGTTTCACGCGTGAATCACACGAGACTCACGTGTGATTCACGCGTCTTTTATTTATTTTTTCCCCAGTGATGCTGCAATGACCCAAACAACCACCAGGTGGCACTTGTGAGCAGGGTTAGGAAAATTGGCTTCTCATCGGTCTTTGTTCTCTGTTCACGGGACAACTTTCTGTGGCTTTATAGCTCAATGATAACGAGGTGGACTCTGGTGTGAGAGGACCCGGGTTCAAGTCCAGGCTGTGACACTTTTGATTTTGTTGACGTTTACATGTTTTCTAAAACATACTTAGTAATTAGGCCAACACATTTAAAATAGTTGCTAGACGGTAGTAAACTTCACAATCTGCACCAACCAAACTGCAGGAAAAAAATGCAACTTTATTCAGTAACGGAGTAATCTGATTCATATACTCCCCCCGCTAATAAAAAATTGAGGATTGGCCGGGGCTTGAACCCCGAACGTCCACGGGAAAGTCTTGTACAATCCCGCTACACCACACAGGCGCTGGAGAAAACACTGGATCTAATAGTAAAGACCGCTGAGTAAATGAGCAGTGCGGATGTGCGGGACGCTTAAAATGCCTCCCACTCAGAAAAAAAGCAGACGCCTTTTCTCTGGCATCTCTAACATTTATAATAAATACATAAATATAACAATCATAATGAAGATGCTTTCAAATAATTTAGCAAGCTGAAATTCATTTATTTCAACTGCCAAACTTCTCTCGCTGCTCCTCTCCTCTCCTCCGCAAATCACTAAATGAGGAAAAGGGAATATTCACTCAATCTATTTTGAATGTTACACATACAATATTAATATAGTCTAAGCACGTGTACCACATGTAGCCCGTGTATTTACCACAGACTGTAAGTATTAAAGTAATAAGGCCCCTGCTTTAGGCCTCTGCTGTGAGGCCCACAGTCATCAGTCTCGGTGCCTCTGTGTAGATCACACGTCTGTCCTCGGGCTGGAGTGTTCTGAGGCTTTAAGCGTGGAAGGAGCGATCCTGTTTGTCAGCATGATTTTTTTGTTTAACAGCCTCCCTGCGCGATTGCAAATGTACTCAAGGGACTCCCATACCGTGGCTCACATATATAATATTATATAGGGATCAGGAGCTTTCTGACCCGACCCACCCGCACCTGACATGACTCATATTTTTGAGGCATCCAACCCGCCCGAAACCGCGGGACCCGCGGGTTGACTGCGGGTTTCGGGCCGACCCGCGCACCTCGCATGTCCTGTTCAGGGCTGCAGGAGCAATTGTCCATTATTTTAATTGGACTTCTGGTCCATGCACACTGTAAAAAAGATAAAGTTAGTTCAACTCAAAATTTCAAAGCAACCAGCTGCGAAGGATTTTTGAGTTGAAGGCATTAACTTAATTCTTCAAGTTTTGAAGAACTACACTTATTAAGTTGTGTCAGTTAAGTTTTCCAAGTTCTGCCAACTAAGTGTTTAAATTCAAGTTACTGGAAATTTCAAGTCTGTAAAAACTTACTTTTTTAAGTTCAGATTACTGTCGCGAGCAGAGAGAGAGAGAGAGAGGTGAGCAGAGAGAGAGAGACGCGAGCAGAGAGAGACGTGAGCAGAGAGAGAGAGACGTGAGCAGAGAGAGAGAGAGAGAGATGAGCAGAGAGAGAGAGAGAGACGCGAGCAGAGAGAGAGAGACGCGAGCAGAGAGAGACGTGAGCAGAGAGAGAGAGACGTGAGCAGAGAGAGAGAGACGTGAGCAGAGAGAGAGAGACGTGAGCAGAGAGAGACGTGAGCAGAGAGAGACGCGAGCAGAGAGAGAGAGACGTGAGCAGAGAGAGAGAGACGTGAGCTGAAAGAGAGAGACGCGAGCAGAGAGAGAGAGGCGTGAGCACAGAGAGAGAGAGAGAGGTGAGCAGAGAGAGAGAGGTGAGCAGAGAGAGACGTGAGCAGAGAGAGACGTGAGCAGAGAGAGAGAGACGTGAGCAGAAAGAGAGAGACGTGAGCAGAGAGAGACGCGAGCAGAGAGAGAGAGACGTGAGCAGAAAGAGAGAGACGCGAGCAGAGAGAGAGAGGCGTGAGCAGAGAGAGAGAGAGAGAGGTGAGCAGAGAGAGACGTGAGCAGAGAGAGAGAGACACGAGCAGAGAGAGAGAGCAGAGAGAGAGAGACGCGAGCAGAGAGAGAGAGACGTGAGCAGAGAGAGAGAGACGCGAGCAGAGAGAGAGAGAGAGAGAGGTGAGCAGAGAGAGAGAGACGCGAGCAGAGAGAGACGTGAGCAGAGAGAGAGAGACGTGAGCAGAGAGAGAGAGGTGAGCAGAGAGAGACGTGAGCAGAGAGAGAGAGACGCGAGCAGAGAGAGAGAGAGACGTGAGCAGAGAGAGAGAGACACGAGCAGAGAGAGAGAGCAGAGAGAGACGTGAGCAGAGAGAGAGAGACGTGAGCAGAGAGAGAGAGCAGAGAGAGACGTGAGCAGAGAGAGAGAGACGCGAGCAGAGAGAGACGTGAGCAGAGAGAGAGAGGCGTGAGCAGAGAGAGAGAGAGAGGTGAGCAGAGAGAGAGAGAGAGACGTGAGCAGAGAGAGACGTGAGCAGAGAGAGACGTGAGCAGAGAGAGAGAGACGTGAGCAGAAAGAGAGAGACGTGAGCAGAGAGAGACGCGAGCAGAGAGAGAGAGGCGTGAGCAGAGAGAGAGAGAGAGAGCTCGGTGAACTGTAAAAACGACAACTCAAAATTGTTCACCTTACAGTTTTGTATGTGATGACCAAAGCGATGAAATGAGGACTACTGGTTTTACAGAAACTATTCAGTCGTGAAAAGTATGTTTCATTCTGATTGACAGGACAGAAGCAAATGTTAATGTTATAAAACAGCAGAGAACTGTATGAAAGTAACTGATACATGTCCAAAAGCATTTGTAAAGTGTTCAAAGGAGAAACTGCCGCGATGATGTCACACACGACTCAATGTTGTGGAGGTTCTACCGTAATGATTTTTTGTATGTTTTTCTACGTAAATACTGTATGTGTACTATTTTTGTTGCAGAATGCTGTAGAATTGCAAAGAGCATAAGCAGTAAATATGTGAACATACAGTACATACATATGTATCACTAAATACAATCACAATGAAAACATGACTAAATCATTTGACTGTTGTTCATAAACACTGATGTCAGGACACAGACACAGACCGTTTCATTGACATGAAGACTTTCTTTTGAGGAATTAAGTTCATTTTGAGAAAGTGACTTTTTAGCAGGTTATCCATGAGGTTTTGCAGTTTGCACTCATTGTTCTGAGAAATGCACTAACTGTTGTTAAAATGTGAAGAATTATGTGAAAAATGCACCAAAGACACTGAGAAAAACTGATTACAAAATATATACAGCGCATTCTCAGGGTACACAGCACTGCCATGGAATCTCTTCTGCTTTGCAGCTCTCCCTCCCCCACACGAATAAACAAAGCCCACCCCAGCCCCCTGCTGTTATAAGTCATTACCTACATTTGCAAATCAATACATGCAAATGTTAGCAGCCAACCTATCAAGTTAGCTCCCTGTTCTCAAAACAGGGGCCAATTTCGGTTGGGTTTTCTAGTGTTAAGAAGAACAGGTGCGAGAGACGTGAGCAGAGAGAGAGAGACGTGAGCAGAGAGAGAGAGAGAGAGACGTGAGCAGAGAGAGAGAGAGAGAGACGTGAGCAGAGAGAGAGAGCAGATAGAGACGTGAGCAGAGAGAGAGAGACGCGAGCAGAGAGAGACGTGAGCAGAGAGAGAGAGACGTGAGCAGAGAGAGACGTGAGCAGAGAGAGAGAGACGTGAGCAGAGAGAGAGAGACGCGAGCAGAGAGAGAGAGAGAGAGGTGAGCAGAGAGAGACGCGAGCAGAGAGAGACGTGAGCAGAGAGAGAGAGACGTGAGCAGAGAGAGAGAGAGAGAGGTGAGCAGAGAGAGACGTGAGCAGAGAGAGAGAGACGCAAGCAGAGAGAGAGAGCAGAGAGAGAGAGACGCGAGCAGAGAGAGAGAGAGATGTGAGCAGAGAGAGAGAGACGCAAGCAGAGAGAGAGAGAGAGAGGTGAGCAGAGAGAGAGACGCGAGCAGAGAGAGACGTGAGCAGAGAGAGAGAGACGTGAGCAGAGAGAGAGAGAGAGAGGTGAGCAGAGAGAGAGAGATGCGAGCAGAGAGAGAGAGACGTGAGCAGAGAGAGAGGGACACGAGCAGAGAGAGAGACGTGAGCAGAGAGAGAGAGACGTGAGCAGAGAGAGAGAGACACGAGCAGAGAGAGAGACGTGAGCAGAGAGAGAGGGACGCGAGCAGAGAGAGAGACGCGAGCAGAGAGAGAGAGACGCGAGCAGAGAGAGAGAGACGCGAGCAGAGAGAGAGACGCGAGCAGAGAGAGAGAGACGCGAGCAGAGAGAGAGAGACGCGAGCAGAGAGAGAGAGACGTGAGTCCGCGTGTCTATGGTCCGCGCTCGGAGCCCAGACGGCAGTGCGTTCACTGAGCGGAGGATGTAACGTAACGTTCGGTTTATCAAAACATATCACAATATTTAATGTATATTAAATAAATTCTAGTGAAT